GCGCCACCGCGTCCCAGCATCCTTTTTTATGTGCTCACAAACCGACTTTTGAATTATCTGTTCTAGGACCTTTCCTGGTGTTATAGGAATTCTATATATATATAATAAATGTTCATAAATGTACAAGGCAAACACATACATAAGTATGTGTCTGACATAGTACAGGAGAACAATCCTGAAGCCATTTTGACTCTCCCAAATGGACCTCAAATATTTCTCTGCAAGGAGGAAGGAAATGGGAAAAGCTTTCCAATTGTCTTTGGATTGTAGGGGCTTACACATCCCTTTTCAAATACAGTCTGGCAAGTATCTGTTAAGCTGAGCACACTATCAATATGCGTAAGACATTCAGGAACTAAGTATTTAACCATCTCAAAGGAATGGCCAGGCTACCCAGAAAAGGCAATCAGGTAAGGCATTATCAGGTATCCTAGCAGACAGGAGAGAAGCAACACATTCAAATTTCTGCTGGGGACCACCTACTTCTGTGATGCATGTATGATGTTTTTGGGGGTGGTCATGAGCTACAGGGGAGGCAATTTCAAAAGTCTATATAAGAGCTTGCAACACCAATGTTCTGGTTCCTCTCTACCCTCCCTGCGTGGGTGAGCAGACCCAGTTGCAACAGATCAATAAAGATCAGGCTTACTAGCTGCTTTGCTTCTCAATATTCTCTGGTTGGCCTGTTATTTTCTCCTACTGATAGAAAACCTACATTAAAGGGCTCTATATGGGCTCTTGGATAACCCTGTAAGGGAGAAAGGACAGTTGTTTCTTATAACGCTGGTATAAAGTGCTCTGCAGATGCTGCCTCAGGGAGCCTGCTGGGATCCAGTGAGTCTCCTCTATTTTTTTTAAAAAAATAATAATATTTATTCCTTTTGCAGCAAATTTAAACACTCACAAAAAAACACAAAGAAAAAAACAATACATTACAATACAAAAACACTACATAAAAATTAACAAAACAAAACAAAAACAATTTAAAAACCACATCAAAAGAAAAAAGAAAAAACTTCCAATATCTTATCTTTCTTTCACATATTTCCACGGCCTCCTCACACCTCCCTTTTTGTATTCCACTTCTATTAATTATCTCAGCAATTCCTTTCCATCTTCCCCTATTTTCTATCCTATAATTATCTTAACACATTTTAACCTTATTTTCCTTTAATACTCTATTAATCTATTTATACTTAAATCCTTATAACATTTCTACTCCTCTCTCCCAACATAGGGCCCATGGGGAGAGCGGGTCCCAGAGCTGCATGGCGGGGGGGGGGGGCAAGTCAGGGCACGGAGGGTCCTGCCAGGGAGGGGCAAAGTCTCAGGAGGACCACAGCTCTGCTCTTCCTTTGCATTAATGCGCTGCTGGCCTCTTGGGGAGGGGTCTTGGGTCCAGGAGCAGGGAAATGCATGCAAATAAACCCCATTCAGATGTATGGATCAGTCCCCTTTTATAACAGAGGTTGTCCGCAGATGGAAACATTTGACATGAAATATATCCTGGTCCGTAAAACCTCACCTGTGGGTGGAAGGAAGGAAGGAAGGAAGGAAGGAAGGAAGGAAGGAAGGGAGGGAGGGAGGGAGGAGGGCAGAGAAGAGAAAGTGCTTCCTCTTGCAGGGCAGAGTAAAACCTGTGGAACTCCCTCCCACAAGAGGCAGGGAGGCCACCAATCAAGGTGGTGTTAAAAGAGGAGGCGGCCAATCTGTGGAGGAGGAGGAGGAGGAGAGGGCGATGGGTGGCTCCTCTGCTCTGTCTCCCCTATAGGAGGCAGCCCTATGGCCTGATCCTGCAGGGCTCATTTTCTCCTCCAGTGCTTAGTTCCTCCAGATGCAAGCTTGCCCTCTGAGATTGCTGGGGGTTGGACTAGATGATCCTTGGGGTGCCATCCACCTCTATAGTTCTATGAAAGCACCACAGGAGGTCTCACAAGCCAAGGCATTGAGAGCAGGAGAGGTCCTGCTGGAATGGAAACAACCAGTGCAACTGTTTTAAAACAGGAATCCAATGTGTTTGTTGTGGGGGACTCAGTGGGGAGGGGTAGACCCATGGATGCCACCTTGATCTCCTTGGGCAAAGAGGTGGGAGAGAAATGCCATTCATAAAGAGAGGCAGCCCAGCCAATCATCTGGCTGCTGCATTTCGGGCCACTTCCCAAGTCACCTTCAAGGGCACTTCCACACAGAGAGTGTTGCAACCATCCCATCTGATGCAGAGCAGGGGCACCAGGGCCATCTCTGGGACTGGGACTGTGGGTGGCAGACTAGCCTGAGCTGGGGGGGGGCAGGAATAACACTGGTATCAACATCAAGCTGACCAGTCAATTGTTATCCGGGTCTCCTCTTTCCCCGCTTTTTCAAGATGTGGCCTGTCTGAGCAGAAGTGTTTTTACACCTTGCTCACCAAAGCCAAGGAGATGAGGGAGGGCATGACAGAAATTGCAGCTTCTTTAGGATGCACAAGGTCTTGTATTAAGAGGTTGCAGGGTTTCCTCTTGGGCTTTCAGGTCATTTGCAGAGTGTTCTGAGCAGCTGAAATGTCCCTGGTCCTCAACAGTGGCTTTCCTGGAGCCAGGCAGCATCAAAAGGAGACTGTAAATAGAAACCCCTGAAGCAGTTCACTGCTAACACTTGTGGAGTAAACTATTTTCAGCACATTATGTTTTAACTGGCTTACCTATGCCAGGATATCTATTGAAATAAAAAATTTAAGGTCTTATATATATATATAATAAATGTTCATAAATGTACCAAGCAAACACATACATAAATATATAAACCACATGTCTGAAGCAGCACAAAAAACCATTTTGACTCCCAAACTGACCAAATGATTTCTCTGCAAGGTCAAGGAAAATGGAAAAGCCTCCCCACTGTCTTTTCCTTCACAAATCCTGTCTGAAGGGTATATCTGTGTGTGAATAGGGTGAGCCTGTGACGTGGCTCAGGAACTAAGTATTTATCATTACAAAAGACTGGCCAGGCTCCCCAGGGTATCCAATCAAGTAAGCCTTAACAGGTAACCTGCTAGACAGGAGGTAAACAATGCACTCAGATTTCTGGTAAACAACTGTTACGGCTAAAATCTGGGTGCAGGGCTACTCTGCCACCCAGCTCGTCGGACTAAGTGTCCGCGGTCCCTGCGGAAGAAAATGAGCTCAGCCGGACAGGAGCAAAATGCGGAGATCCAAGGTTTATTGCGCAACAGGTTCAAGACAAGATTGAACCCCGAGAAAGGGGTGACATGAACTTTTGAAACTCCCTCCATGTCCCAGAATGCAGTGCAAAATACATCCCAGTTACATCATGAATACATTAAGGAAAGGTTGGGTTACACAGATTACATCATGAATACATTAAGGAGAGGTTGGGTTACACCGGATTAACATATGGAGGAGGGAGGGGGGAATATGCAGAGCTGGAGATATGCGCAGATAAGCGCTTCCTGAGTGCCGGTGATGGGAAGACAATGGTCCATGTATGCATAGTCTGTCACCTGGCATTGCCCGGAGGAA